AACAACCCAGCTGTTGGGATGTCCATGGTGATGGTGGGGGTACCCTATTATGGACTGGGTTCCCCACCCAGAGAGTGGTGCAAATTGGTTCTTTCAGACYCTTCTGGAAAAGGGCCGGCGGCTCTGGGGCTCTTTGGTGCTCTTGATCCCCCGTGCAGTCCATGGCCAGTGCTTGGCCCGATTCCTGCACTCGCTGCTCTGGGCTGTGCTGATCTCCAGGAAGCGCAGCTGGGATGTTTGTCCTGCCCAGGTGCTGCTCTGCCTCTACCTGCAGGCTCAGCCTGGCGCGGGCGCTGCTCCTCCAGCTGCACCACCAGACATGGACAGTGGAACGGCTCCGCAGAGCCCGCAGCGCCCGCCTGGAGCGGGAGGGATGTTTCTGGGAGACCTGGCTCAGTGTCTCCGGATCTCCAAAGGCTGCAGAGTCCTCTGCCTCTGCCACCACGGCAGCGAGAGGCTTGGGCGGCTCCTCCTGCTCAGGCTCCTGGACAGGAGCAGCTGGCTGGGCATCCATGTGACTCCATGGGGCGGGAGAGGCACCGGGATAGGCCCAACTGGGTCCCTCTGGGGGATGCTTATCATCCACCAGGCCCAAGGGTTTGTTCCAGATGTTCTCCTGGATGGATCTTCCCCTTGGGCCGGYTCTTGGACTCCACTCTGCTTMCCTTTGGAAAGCAAATTGTCACTGAAACCAAGAGATGACATGGAGTCCAATCAGCCTTGCCACCRGGCTCTTGGCTGGTCATTGCCYCATTTCTCTTGGGACAGTCCTTGGTAGGTGTCATCTTTGTCCTCTGCCTCCTTCTCAGCTCCATAATTGKTGGGGAAATTGGCTTCCAGCCACTCCAGCACCTTCTGATGGCCCGACATTCGCTGCAGCTCTGGCTGTTTGGGCAAAGAGCTTCGATCTCTGTCCATGCCACTGAGCAGAGCCCTCCTCATCAGCTCCTTGTTCCCATTGGGAGAGCTCTTTGTCCTCATGCTCTTCCCAATGGGAGAGCTGTTTGTTGTCATGTTCTTCCCATGGGGACATGTTCCGGACATTATAGTTTTCCCCACAAGACAGCAAACATGACACAGAGCTGTCTTGTGGGGAAAGTTTCTCATCCTCATTGTTATCCCCATGGGACAGCTCTTTGTCACTGTCACTCTCCCTTTGGGACAGCTCTTCTTTGTGGGTGTCTTCACCCAGGGACTTCTCCTTATAAACCTTGTTATCCCCTTGGGAGAGTTGTGTCATCTTCACTGGGGACACATC